CAGCAGCTATACTTCTGCCTTTCATCTTTATTACATACAGGTAAGAGCACAGCATGCAGTGCTGTCGCCTCTAGACAGAGAGTGCCAAATTATGGCAAATACATGTGCAATTACTTTACTATGAGGAACTGAATCTCATAATTGTTTCAGGTAGAAGATTTCATACCTACATACCTACATTAGATGCTTGCACTTTCTTAAAACTTAGAAGTTTTTGGAATTTCTTTGGACTGAAATTTGGAAATAACTCTTGTACATTCTTTGTAGCTAAAAGTGGGGAGATAGGGGAAGAAATGCAGTTGTGATCTTGGCTCATTTAGTGTCCTTGGAGAGATTTCAGAATTCAGGATTTTTCTTGTTCTTCTAATTGAAAGCTTTTTCTCCCCTAACACAAGGGTGGTCTGTGCATTGTAAAACAATTGTTGTAAATTTTACATTAATTTACTGGCAACTTGTGTTGGGTTGAATTATATGCATACTTATGAAAGTAAAAGTCTTCAGTTATAAAGGTATTTGTGCATGCATTGTGCATTACATTTTGTCCATTTATAGTTATCTAATGTTGTGGAAAGTCAGTGAAATAAGTTAGTTCTGGTTATCTGGTTATAGAAAATTAACATCTTCTGACCAATCAGAATCAAGAATCCAGTAGAGCTTTGGTATTAAGGCTTATAACCATATTATAGTGTGAGGTAAGTATAAAGTGTCATGCAATAATAAGCTAATATTAGTATTCCAAAACATCTTTAATTTCTTCTTCATCTTTCCTTCACATTGTCTCCTTTTTGAATGTGTGTGTGTGTGTTTTCCCTGATACGGGAAAACCAGTGGATTACTCATAAATTGGAACCCATTATAGTATCAGTTTTGGAGATCAGCACGTACATGTCAAATTAATAATGTCGCTACCAAGGTTAGGATAGATTTCATCATGGGTCTGTAATTTACTGATTGTTGGATCTATGTTGGATCTAAAACTGGAACACTGTGAGATAATTGTTCGTCTCTTGAAGCCATTATTCTACTTTCTCAAGCACTTCACAATTAAAAGTCTATTACATTATCATTATGTAAGTGACTGTATACTGTATATACTGAGTTGAACTTACAAACACTGTTAAATTAAAAAAGCAGTACAATGTTATTAATGTATATGATGCATACTTTCAATAATAGTAGCATACTGATAATCTGCATGTCATTTATGTAGAATATTATTCACTTTCTTGCTCTCTGTTCCATGATAGATTTTTGATTGCCCTTGCTGGTATTACAACACCATAGGAAGTGTTTGCTAACAGTTTTATAAATTTTTAACTGAAACACTGACCCTGGGGTAACAAGGTAACATCTCACTGTTCAAACCGACACAATGATTCATACCTTCAAGGAAAAATGTCAATCTTAAGGGGAACATTCTCTCTACTTTGTGTTGCTGCAGTAAATGTAAAGTATAAGAGCTTTTGCTGTGGTATGCAAGCAGTCACTCGGGTAAAAAAATGAATGTGTGAAAAATGAATCAGGAAACCATTTTCTTAAATCTAATTGATGATAAAGTGTCAGAAAGACGGGTAATCCATCAGTTACACTTGAATGATATGTGAACAGTGCTCATTTAAGTGAGGTTAAAAGCGTCCTCAGAGACAGACTGACATGAGATAACATGAGAGATAACATGAGGCATGCGCTGTGGTGCTCTTGAATACTCTTGCAAAGGTGGAAAATACTTATACTTTAAAATTAATTTTTCTATTTTTCGATTTTAAAAATGTTTAGATTAATATTTGTAAACATTTTTTCATTTTAATTTATATACGTTAATAAATATTTATCAAATCAACCATTAGTCAATCAACCAGCCATTGTTGAGCAAGTATTGTCTATTAGTCTCATTTGCTCTTACTACTTTAAAGTAACTTCAATTAAAAAAAGATCTCATGAATAAAATTGATGAAACTCAAATGAATGAGGATTATGTTGTTAAATTTTGCTAACACCACACATAACTCTAACCTTATCCTTTTTGTAAGTGAGAGATGAGATGTACTGGAGTACATGTAAGTGTAGTTGCTTTCACGCAAGCATGATATAGACTCCTTCCACTTTTAGCTAAGTAAGATTTTGTAAGATTTTGCAAGTATTATTTTTGTTTGTTGCCCCCCCCCCCCCCCCCCAAATTGATCACATGCCAATTCCCACCCACCAACCAGCTCTTCCCTTCCCTGTCATATGACAGCTTCTTTTCGAACTGCTGCTCATGATGCGACAACACACTTGGAGTAAAGTGCTATAGGCCTCTTACCTTCTTCTGCATACATGAATTCATGCAAATTATTTTGACTGTTCCTTCTATTTCAACCCACAAAAGCATGTTAGCTTAACATTGTAAGAGTAGGGTTAGCCTTTGTTTAACAGCCTTTGTTTGAAGACCCCAAGCCTAACAGCTGAACAGCTGAACAGCTGGGTTAAAACCAAATCCTTCTGATTATGAGGGAACAGTACAGCTAAAATTTTGGCAGAAAACTTCAGCTTCTTTATGTACATTAAGGACATGCCTTCTGTCTTCAATGGTTCTCAAGTACAGATGTTTAAATATATGATATCTGTTGTGCAAAAAGTACAACGGCCCGTGCAATAGCACATGTAGTCCTTTTCCACTCTAACTTTTCAGTCTAGATTGATTACATATTATGTCTTGGACTGAAACAATCCAAAATCATAGCTTCAGCCTGTGAAGGAGAAAATGAAGTGTATTGCACAAAGCAAACCTGAAGTAGTGATATATCACTCTACCTCCAGTACTGCTGATGTACTATTGGTGGCTGTGGATGCTGGGAAATGTGTCATAACACTTCTCCCCTTTGTGGTACATATCTGTCTGAATGCTTGTAATTGACCAGTATGTGTTAATATAATGTTTTTTGTTATAAAATTCTGCTAAACATTATACACACAAAAGATGGGAATTATCATGACACAGTAACTTCTTGGAAAGGTGTAGGTATGCAGTTTAAAAAAAACATTCAAGTAGCTGTCTTTTCCACTTCCTCACTATAACCCCTCAAATCCCAGCACATATGGGCTTGATTAAATTACTGGCAACAGCTAATCGGGAACTTTCCTTAAATGGATGCGGCCCAGCCTTTCACTCTAGACAGATCTTAGTGGAAAATATGCCTCAATTTTTATTTATTTTTTTTGTGAAAATGCTCAGGCTAAGGCCTTAAGCTTCTCAAAGCCATATAGCTTGGTGATGTTACTGCCACTATGTATTGTTCACTTCAATAGTTTTCTTTACACATTAAAGCTCCTCTCTTAATTAAACTGGAAACATCACAGAGAAATGTGACTAAATCTGCAACACACTATTCTACTGCTCTTAACTTCTTCAGTTACAAGAAACTACAAAACTAGAAAAAATGCACTTGATTCTGCAACATCCTAATTTAAGCATGTTTGTTGATCAAAGCTTTTTTATCTATCTATCTCTCTCTCTTTCTCTCAAGTGTTTCAAAAGGTTTCTGTTTTTTAAACACATACATAAGAACACTAAACCATAACAATAATTCATCTAATGTGTATAATATATCCCTTTGCCTATGTTAACTTACTAATCTTGAGCACACACACACACACACACACCACAGTAATACCACAGCCACTACAGCCACTACTACAGGGCTGGTAAGGCTCATGCCTGATTTTGTGACAATATCACAGGGAGGACACTACAATAGTTGACTAGGTTTTGCTTTTAATATGAACTCCATCTAGCAGAATAACAGCTATTTAAACACATAAGAAACACCTAACATCTTTGACTTTGCACTAACATGTCCAAATGTCCTGGATGTACAGCCAGTTTCCAGGCTAAAACATAACCACTACCTCAGCAGGTTCCACTTTGGCGATCACAGATAGCGTCATGGGATCAAAAAAATCAGACTGAGCTCTTTAAATAGTTACCAAGTTTCTGTAGCTATCGCTTCTTTAGAGCTCCAGGAATATAAAGCAATTATATATTGATTCCAATATTTTTTTTATCTGGAGATTTTTACATCTTGCTAGACTGTGGACTAAAGATAAGATTGTTACTAAGAGGGCAAACAAATTTTGAGAAATTTTCAAACTGATGGAAATAATTGATAGTTACAAAACTTAATCTGATATTTTTAAGAACTGAGGTTTCCTTTCAACACTATTTGAAGTTCGGTGTCACGGGAGGAATTTATGTCCCTTTAGAGGGTTCTTATGCCAACTATAAGTCAACCCTCTGATTCTATCTAAGCACATGCCTTCTTAACATCTCTTTTCAAGTTCTTCTTTCCCCAGTGTGTTCTAAGTAAACGCATAAGATTTAATGCAAATTCAGGCTCGTACATTAGGTAGTGACTAATGTACAAGCCTTAAAAATAGTGATATGCATAAAGATTTACATGAGACTACAAAAAATAGAACAGATATGAAAGATGAATGTCAAGCATGTTGCTAAAAAATGTTTTTAAAATTGTTGTTTTATATTTCCCCCTGTAACACACTGTAGAACTTGAGATAAGGATACAAATGCCAGGTTTAGTAAAATATATAGAGAGATATAGATATATAGATACATATTAATAAAATATATATAGAAAGCTTTACAAAGAGGGATGTAGCATATAGCTCATAATTGCATAAACAATATTAATGACAAAACCTCACAAGCAGTAATTAACTCAAGAAGTTCTTATATAGTCCAAGGTGACTAAATGTGGAACAGGTATACACTGGAGGTCAGGGAAGCCAAAAGCAGCTGGGTGATGCTGCAAGGTGGAACGTAAACCAAACTTCATTCAGATTGTTCTTAAATTATATTTGGAAAGATTGTAGTACACTAATATAAAACCATATCCACAATTTATTAATTGAAGTACAATTATGGATTTGGTTTTGCATCTAAAAACCATAAACCATTTTATGGTTGTGCTTGTCATCTTATCTGAGCCCAAATATCTTTTTTTGTCAGGATGGCCAAGTGGTCTAAGGTGCTGTGTTCAGGTTGTAGTCTCCCCTGAAGGTGTGGGTTCAAATCCCACTTTTGACAATTCTTTTGGCCAGTGGTGGCTCAACAGTTAAGGCTCTGGATTACTGAACAGAAGGTTGGGGATTCAAGCCCCAGCACCTCCAAGCTGCTTGAGCAAGGCCCAAGGCCCTTGACCCTCTCTGGGTGCTGCATCATGGCTGACCCTGTGCTCTGACCCCAGCTTCCAAACAAGCTGGGATATGCGAAGAAAAGAATTTCACTTTGCTGTAATGTATATGTGAAAAAATTAAGGCTGCTTCTTGTAACTTTAAGATGAATTTTAAAAAAGCTGATACTTTAAATAGTTAATTTATGAACTTCAGTAAAAGAGTACAAATAGTTTCACCCTGTACCATTTAGAAGCTGTGGCTCAGATTGTTAACTTTTATGATGCTACTAATAGTTGCTTGGTAACTTAAGGGAAATGAGGTCAGGGATTGTTTGTAAAAAACAAGTCCCCAGAGAATATGGTACTACTCAGTAATTGGCTCAAATTTCTGTTGAATAAATGTCCTGTAGTTCTGATGTTGAACAGGTCTAATCAAACTTGACCAAGCAATAGCAAATCAGCTTTCCTAAATCTGATTCTTTTAGGAACAGCTGTAAGCTTCTGGCAATAGCTCATTGTGAATGTGCTTGTCTCCACCATGACATGTTACTGCCAAGAGCTATTGGTAAGTGGGGACGCAATCAGTATTACTATTATTGCCTTTTTTTTTTCTTCATAACAACAATCATAACAATTAAGTGCAATGATTTCCTTTATAGTCAATAAATAATAATAATAATAATAATAATAATAATAATAATGATAAGTAATCAATGCAAGTCAACACTAAACACTTTAGTCTCTCAATAGAAGTTAAGCCTTTTTTCATCTTCTTGGTTCTGTTTGAAAGCCTGATGGGAAAAAAGTGTCTTTTTTTCTCCATTGCTTCATCACTTGCTGTTTATCTTGCTTCTATATTTGGAGATAAGGTTTTACGAAATGAGTATAACACTTTTATTAATAGCTCATTTTAGAAACATTTGTAGGTCTCACCACAAGACCATTCCAGAACACTGTCGTTCGTAGATGCCTATTTAAAGTTTATAAGGGCTACAAAATTAACCAATTACCAAAAGTGCTTGAACAGTCAGCACTTTATCTGGAAATGTTTTATATCTAATGCTTTTGGTATGCCTTTGCATCTGGTAGGCCTATACGTCATTCATGAATATATATTGTCAGATTTTCTTTTAAGAGCTATGATGAATTCAATGGAGTTACAGCGATTAAATGAATGTATGAATAGCGTCCAATTTTAAATAAGATTCCAGTATTTAGACTTTGCAGCCTAATCATTAACATACCCTGCCAGTCTGTGTTTTGTCCTGTTTCAGCCCCTGCCACATTGTAATTAAAGAAAGAAATGGTGGTGGGGAGGTGAGGACTGGGGAACCTGGACACTCGACAGATTGGTTCAGTAATAATACTAAAACCTGCTCCTGAGTCTTGAACTGTCTTGTTGTGTGCAGTGGTACTATCTCCTTCCTATCGGTAACCAATATGAATTTATAGCTATAGGAACTCCTGTAGTTGTGATACTTGCGAATGAGGATGTGGAGTTTCATGATATTAGGGACATACCTGTAGTATACACTGTATAGCAAAAAGTATGTGGACACCTGATCATCACACCCATATGTAGGTCCTCCCTGAATTGTTGCCACAAAGCTGGAGGCACAGAATTGTGATAGAATGTGTTTGTATGCTGTAGAATTACAATTTCCCTTCACTGGAACTAAGAGGCCTAAACATGTTCCAGCATGACAATGTCCCTGTGTACAAAGCAGGGTCCATGAAGACATGGTTTGCCAGGGTTGGTGTGGAAGAACTTGAGTGACCTGCACAGAGCCCTGAACTCAACCCAACTGAACACCACATGAAGTGGAATGCCTACTGAATGCCAGGCCTCCTCACCTGACATCAGAATCTGATCTCACTAATGCTCTTGTGCCTGAATGGACACAAATCTCAGGAGCCATGTTCCAAAAGCTTGTGGAAAGCCTTCCCAGAAGAGTGGAGGGTGTTATAGCAGCAAAGGATGGACCAAGTTTAGTATTAATTAGTCTTATTTTCTTACATTGTCTTA